AAATATCAATGATATGAAAATATTTTAAAGGGCTGGAAGAAAACTGTGATATAGATATTATGCCTCATTCATATATGTTCTTGTTACACAGATTGGTCTGTCTTAAAAGTATAAATGGGGCTGCTCCAGCCAGGGCAACCACTTAGAGCCTTTAAAACCCAAAAATGATGCCAACACAATTTGAAAAGGGCCATTCGTAATAGACGTGGCAAGTTACCTCTGACTTATTACAAAAGAAATTGATGTTACAAGTGAGCCCATTACAAAGCAGTCACCAGATGTTAGGGCTCAGAGACCTGGCTGAGTCCGAGGGAAGGGAATTCAATTAGGGCAGTTAGAGATGTGTTATGTTGTGGGCTTGGCAAAGGAAATAATTCCTGCATTTGATCACCTGCAGATGGTTTCAAAGGCTTGGCCAGGGGTCTGCACACAGGCGGGCACTAGGAAAAGGAAGGGGATGAGGATCAGGACACACATCCAGGTCCAGGAAGGGAGACAAACTTTTAAATCCATAAATTGCAACTTCCCAAGCTACGGATACAAAATTGCACAGGATGTTCAGAAGTAGCATAGCAAGGAAGTGGCCCCTCCAGCAGAGCCTGCAGAGCTTGTTAGGGATTGTAAGGTCATCACTGTGCTTAGAAAGTGGCTGTGGAAACAAAGAGAGAAGCTGGAAGGGCATTCATGGGGAAGGGAACAGCAGGTATACAGACACAGAGGTCCAAAACTACTGTGTGTCTGTGTGAGTGTGTGTGTGAGAGAGAGAGAGTGTGTGTGTGTGTGTGTGTGTATGTGTGAGACAGCCATGGATTCCTGCTGTGTACATACATAAATGAGAACTCCAGAAAGCTAGTGGACAAATGAGATGAAAAGATTATAGTCTATTTTGGAAATCCACCCACAATTTTTTTCATTGTGCACATTTCTCATGAACTTTTTGAAGACCTGTCTGTGTGGATTTTAATATTTTTTACTCTGAAAGAAAATTTAACTTTTTTAACTTTTAACTCTATTTTCCATGAACTTTTGAAAGTACTCTTTGTGGGGCTGGCATTGTGGTGCAGTGGGTTAGGCTGCTGCCTGCGACACCAGCATCCCATGAGTGCTGGTTTGAGTCCTGGCTGCTCCCCTTCTGATCCAGCTTCCTGTTAATGTGCTTAGGAAAGCAGCTAAAGGTGACCTGAGTGCTTGGACCCCTGTCACTGGCCTGCGAGACACCGATGGAGTTCCTGACTCCTGGCTCCTGGCTCCTGGCTCCTGGCTCCTGGCTCCTGGCTCCTGGCTCTGACCTGGCCCATCCCTGGCTGCTGTGGCCATTTGGGAAGTGAACCATTAGATATATCTGTGTGTGTGTGTTTTCCCTTTCTCTGTAATTGTGCCTTTCAAATAGATAAACCTTTTTTTTTTAAAGTACCCCCATATATGGTTTGGAAAAGACACCATCCTTACACAGTTTTAAACATCAGTTAGGAATATTATGGTAGCCTCTCCTAATTGTGTGCCTGTGAGGCATCATATGGGAGGGAAGTTCCAATGGGACAGACTGTGGACTTGTATAAATGAGAACATGCCCACGATGTTACCTCCTTACCTGTAACTCTCTTGCTAAGATTGAAACTTGAACACCTGTGCATGTAGGGCCTTGCTGGCAGAACTCTAAGCTCTCAGTAATATCAGAGCATGGAATGTAATCATAGGTGACTGGGGCCTTGTGTGTTAGGAGGTGGTGAGGCAGGAAAATGGGGTGGTGCCAGGGGATCGGGCCAGACTGTGATGGAACTTTGTGTGCCTGTTCACAGTTGATTGTGGAGAGAAAGAGAGGTAGTGAGAAATGGTCCCAAAGAATCATGTTCAGAAGCTCACCTGGGCCCAGTGTTGTTGCACAAGGGTTAAGCTGTCACTGGCCATGCTGGCATCCCATGTGGAGCCCTGGTTCAAGTCCCAGGTGCTCTGCTTCTGATCCAGCTTCCTGCTACTGCACCTGGAGAGACAGAAGAAGATGGCCCAAGTACCATGGCCCCTACCACCCATGTGAGAGACCAGGGAGGGAGTTCCTAGCTCCTGGATTTGGTGCTGGCCATTACTGCCATTTGAGGAGTGAACCAGTGTGTAGAAAACATCTCTCTGTCTGTCTCTGTCACTCAGCCTGTCAAATAAATAAATAAATTTTTTTAAAAAAGAACCAGCTCATCGGGCTTCAGGGAGAATATGACTGTGGCCCCAAAACATCCAGGTCCTTGTCCTTTGAACATTCAGTGCTCCCTTCTGGGGCAAAAGAGGTTTGCAGATGTAAGCCAGAGGTCTTGAGATGGGAGGACAGTCCTGGGCTATCTGAGAGCTCAAAGTCAAAGTGCCATCATCAGAGGGCAGCTGAGAGGGATTCAATTTCAGGAGGAAGAAGGGGATGCTGCCCTGCGTTGGCTGGATCCAGACTCTTGTCTCTGATGCAAGAAGTGTTTGGAGGATGAGACCCAGACAAAGGTGAGCAGAGAAGCAGATTTATTCATACACAAGGAGTGTGACAGGCCAGTGTTATGGTGGTGGAGGGTTAAGCCTCTGCCTGCAGCACCAACTCCCCATATGAGTGCTGCTTTAAGTCCCTGCTGCTCTGCTTCTGATCCAGCTCACTGCTAATGCTAATGCACCTGGGAAAGCAGCAGAAGATGGCCCAAGTGTTTGGGTCCCTGTGTCCATGTGGGAGACCCGCAAGAAGCTCCTGGCTTCAGGCTCCTGGCTTCAGCCTGGCCCAGCTCTGGCTATTGTAGCCATTTGGGGAATGAACCAGCAGATGAAGCTGGTGTTGCAGGCAGTGGCTTTGCCAGCTATACCCAAACACTGGCCCCAAGCTGCTCACCTCAGCACTGCACAGTTTTAAGCATCATATCATGTTGCTGACTTTCAAATCATCCTTCTCAACCTTGTCTTACTCCCAAAACTCCAGAGTAATGGAACCTCTACTTGGATATTAAGACAACCCAGGTTATATTTCTCCATAAACTTTCCTCCCTCACCCACTGGTTTTCTCCATCCCAGGAAACTGCCCTACCCTCCACACAATCACTGAGGACAAAACCACAGGTGCCAGTCTTGATTCCTTTTTCTTTCACCCCACGCATCTAACCTGCCTTTAAGTCCTATTGGTTCTACTTATAACACCTGCCCTCAGTGCACCTGCTCTCCACTTACACTACCACTGAGCTTCCCCTGACCGGTGTATCTCTGGCTTGGATTACACAAGAATTTCAAAGACATCTCCCAGCTTCCACTGCTGGCTTGTACAATCAATTTGTGACACAGTAGCAGGGTGATCTTATAAAATCATGTCAGGTCACAACCTAAAACCTTTTCCTAGCGTACCTAACATTAAAAACCTTGCCATTAAACTCAGTTGAAAACCCAACAACTCACTTAGCTTTGCTTGAAAGGCATCATGAAATCTGCCCCCAGACCATTTCTGTGATTCACCTTGTACTCCAGCCACCTTCATCTGTCCCAAAAGGATCGTACAGGACCTCTGTGCAGTAGCTGTGCCACCTGCCCCAAATGCTCCTACCCCGAGTATCTGCATATTGGGTTGTTTCTCATTGTTTAAGGATTAGTTTTCTGAGTTTTTTTTAATGCCATCTCCTCAGAAATGGCTTCCTAAAACAATCAACCACAATATTTACCTTAGCAATATATGGATATTTTTACTCTTTGACCCAGTAATCAACATATGGGAACCTACCCTAAAGAAACTCTGACAAGGATAAGAAAGAGACAAATAGATGTTATATGCTTCCTGTTGGAATAATGCAATATCAATGATGAAACAGCTTTGAAATATAAACACACATGCACGAACATACACCACCCCCTTGAAGACATCCTTGATCCAACTACCAATCCACAGCAGATGCAGAGGGCAGAGGAGCACGCAGCCAACAAAGTCTAAAATGGGAACTAGCCAGATAAGTGAGCTGTTTTCTATAGCAAAATAAATTACAAGGTGGGAGGACCACACATGAAGGAGGAATTGATATATTAGAGAAAATTTGAAGGAGAAATAATACAAGTTCAATGCTTGCTCCTTGTTTAGATTCTGAATCAAAAAAAGTTTAAATGAAGAGAGATAATTGATAAAATGTGAAACCTCTATGTTCCAATAATTAAATGCTTTAGGTGTGAGCCTGGTACTCCTGGGAACAGTTTAAAATGAGTGTGTACTCTTAGGTTTACACGGAAATATTTGTGGGTGAATCACTTAATGTGGGAGATTTGCTTCAGTGTCTTCAGAGCCAAGAAAATGGGTATATGAATATTACTAAAACAACATTGGGCACATGTTGGTAATTTTTTGAAGGTGAGTGACAGATGGAGGTGCAGTAGGCCAGTCTCTCAGCTTCAGTATGTTTGAAGTTTTCCACAATAAAAGTTTAAAAGACAACAAATTATTCATAACACTTTGAAAAACTTATCAAGATATTAATGTACCTATATAGTTTTCCTAAAAGATGTATTTATTTGAGACCCAGAGTGACAGATGGTAGGGGCGGGGAGAGAGAGAGAGAGAGAGAGAGAGAGAGAGAGAGAGAGAGAGAGAGAGAAATTGATTTTCCACCCTCTGGTTCACATCTCAAAATGCCTGTAACAGCCAAGGGTAGCAGGGGCAGGCCAGGTTAAAGCCAGGAGTAAGGAATTCAATCCAGGTCTCCCATGTAGGTGGCAGAAACCCAAATACTTGGGCCATCATCTGCTGCCTCCCAGGTGCATTAGCAGGGATCTGGGAAGCTGGATTGGAAGTGGAGGCAGGACTCCATCCCAGGAACTCTGATATGGGATTTGGGCATCCCAAGTGGCAGTTTAATTCTCTATGACACAAAGCCCACCCCACTATACAGTTCTTAATCACTCATTTTGCATTGCTGTCTACCTCCCAATAAAACATAGGTTCTCTAAGAGAAAGAACCTTACTAGTCTTTACTAGTATCCCCAGTGGCTGTAGCAGTGTCAGGTTCTCGATTAATATTGCTGAATGAAAAACATAAAATGCTGGGACTGCTTGTGGGATTTTAAGATTTTAACTCTGTGGCAGCCAGCAAAGAACGCTCAGGGTGCCATGAGTCGGAGGCCAGCAGTGGCTCACCTTCACTTCAATGAAGTCAGGATTCTCCAGGCTCAAGAGCTCAGCATAGGCCTGCAGTTCATCCACATTCCAGGCTTTCACCAGCGTCAGTCTGTACACAGTCCGTTGTTGCTGAAATGAAAGAAAAACCAACTTTGTTTTTGTCTTGGAGAAAGTCACCTATTAACATCTTCAGCAGATGCTCAGGCATTGTCAACCCACAGGGAACCTGCAGTTGAACCCACAATGAATATCCACAAATTGAAGTTTTACTTTGGAGAGAGGTTAAGGGTTCCACAATGCAGTAAGACTCCTGAAGGCACAGATAGTGACCTATTTCTCTTCTGTACCTTATATCATCCAACACTGTTAGGCACCCACAGTGTCTTGATAGACTCACAATGAACTCAATTTCAGAAGGAACTGTGAATCGGCTGGAGAGTTTTCGGCTATGGAAAATACTTCAGGTAACCTTTAGGCTTTCAGGTAATGACATTCTACTTGGTAATGACAAGAATTATTGATTACTCTTGTCTTCTCTTTCTCATTATTTAATGATCTCTTGGCATTTCTTAATGGCAAGAAAAGGGCACAGTTAGGGGCTGTCATTGTTGCCATTTCCTTACCATGCATCAAGAAGTACTGGCTTTCTGAAAAGCAATTAGTCAATAATGAAAGCCTTGGAATGCCTGTACACTTTGGCTTTGTATATAGCTCACGTCTAGGATCCAAGGAAAATGGTGCTTTCCAAGCCTATTTGCTCATAAACTGTGTATTCAAAGTCCCTTTAAAAATACAGTATGGGGGTGGGCATGGTGGAAGGGCTGGTGAAGCTGCCACGTGGGACACTTGCATCTCATATCAGAGTGACTGCCTCTGGTTCCAATCCAGCTGATTGCTGTTTACCCTGGGAGGCAGTAGATGACAATGACTCAAGTACTAGGGTTCCTGCCACTCATGAGGGGAGACCTGAATGGAATTAATTCCAGGTTTCTGGCTTTGGCCCAGCCAGGCTCTTGTGGGCATCTCGGAATGAATCAGCAGATGAAGTGTCTCCCCCATCCCCACCACATTCTCTACTTTTCAAATGAATAAGTAAATGTAAATAGATAAATAAACACCCAACTCAGGCCTTGAATTACAAATATTTTTAAAAGATTTCAAATGTGGGGCCAGTACTGTGGCTCACTAGGTTAATCCTCTGCATCCCATATGGGTGCTGGTTCTAGTCCTGGTTGCTCCTCTTCCAATCCAGTTCTCTGCTGTGGCCCAGGAATGCAGTGGAGGATGGCCCAAGTGCTTGGGCCCTGCACCCACATGGGAGACCAGGAGGAAGCACCTGGCTCCTGGCTTCAGATCGGCATAGCTCCGGCCATGGCGGCCATTTGGGGGGTGGGCCAACATAAGGAAGACCTTTCTCTCTGTCTCTCTCACTGTCTGTAACTCTACCTGTCAAATTAAAAAAAAAAAGATTTCCAATGCAGTATATAATGCAAGGAGAGAACTTCTCCAATGCCCAAATCTAACAAAAACAGCAAAAAACTGCAGACCAGTATCTCTTGTACTTATAGAGTATGAAATCTTTTTTTTAAGATTTATTTTATTTATTTGAAAGACAGAATTTCAGAGAGAGGTAGAGACAGAAAAAGAGGTCTTCCATCTGCTGGTTTACTCCCCAGTTGGTCGTAACGGCTGGCACTGTGCCAATCCAAAGCAGGAGCCAGGAGTCTCTTCCAGGTCTTCCACGTGGGTTCAGGGACCAAGGACTTGGGCCATCTTCTACTGCTCTCCCAGGCCATAGCAGAGAGCTGGATCAGAAGAGGAGCAGCCGGGACTAGAACTGGCGCCTATATGAGATGCCGGCACTTCAGGCCAAGGCATTAACCCACTGCCCCACAGCACCGGCCCTAGTAAAAAACTTATAGAAATTTTAGTAAATAAGTATCAGCACTGGGTTAAAGATTCTAGAAGGCAAAGATGATTCAGTATTAAGCTATATAGTAATACAGTGCATCACAGGAATAGCTCGATGCAGAAAAAGCATCTGATTATCATAAATATTTACAGGCATCTGACTTAATTTACATCATCCCTGCTTTAATTCAAAAGTCCAAATACACATTCTCAGTATAAAGGAAAGCACTCTCCAATCAATAGTTAATGTCATACTTAGTGGTTAAAAAATTAGAGGCAACCCCACTTAGACAAACAGAAGGACATCCACTCTTTTTCCCTTCCTTATTTTTTTAACACTTTCCTACAAGCTTTTAACAAAGCAATTATGCCAGAACAAGAATTATTGGAGCAGACAAAAAATAACTTATGATAAATATTATAACTGGCTTTTTGGACATCAAAGAGATTCAAAGACTACAAAAAGTCAATTAAAGCAAAGTGGTGGCTGGCACCACGGCTCAATAGGCTAATCCTCCACCTAGCGGCACCAGCACACCGGGTTCTAGTCCTGGTCAGGGCGCTGGATTCTGTCCCGGTTGCTCCTCTTCCAGGCCAGCTCTCTGCTGTGGCCCGGGAAGGCAGTGGAGGATGGCCCAAGTGCTTGGGCCCAGAACCCCATGGGAGACCAGGATAAGTACCTGGCTCCTGACTTCGGATCAGCGCGGTGCATCGCCCACAGTGCGCCAGCCGTGGCGGCCATTGGAGGGTGAACCAACGGCAAAGGAAGACCTTTCTGACTCTCTCTCTCACTATCCACTCTGTCTGTCAAAAAATAAATAAATAAATAAATAAATAAAGCAAGGTGGCCAGTTACCAAATAAAGATTAACAACTTTCCTAACATGGAGTAGGGGGTTACATGCAAACTTTGGGGGCTAGATTGAACCTAAGAAACTGTACCTCTCTGTTCTGCATTTCCAACAGTGTACAACCCATTTTACATAGGATTAAAAGTGATACATACCGGTTGCTCCTCTTCTAGTCCGGCTCTCTGCTGTGGCCCGGGGGCACAGTGGAGGATGGCCCAAGTGCTTGGGCTCTGCACCCACATGGAAGACCAGGAGGAAGTACCTGGCTCCTGGCTTTGGATGGCGCAATGTGCTGGCTGTAGCAGCTATTTGGAGGGTGAACCAACAGAAAAGGAAGACCTTTCTCTCTGTCTCTCTCTCGCTGTCTAACTCTGCCTGTCAAAAAAAAGTGATATGTAGTTATGAGAATGAAGTCTGGCAGCAGTTAAGTCATACAAAGTATTAGCTATTATACACCAGCAATGATGATTATGAAATACAAGGCAAAGAAAATTCTACTTATAAAATACATTTATAAAATATCTAGAGATTACTTTATGAAAGAACATGCAGGATGGTGAAAAAATACATCTTTCTGAGAGACCAAGATAAAAACTTGTCTATGTGGAGAGCAATGATGGATTTAGAAATATAATGGAATTGCAAGGAACAATAAAGACAATAGCAGGAGTTAGCAGTAAGTCAGCACTTACTAGGTGCCAGTTGTTGTTATACAGTGCTCTGTATCTTAGCAAAGATTCTACTATTTGTCTAATCTTTATAACAAATCTTACAAAATAGATTGGACTGTCATCTTCATATACAGATAAGACAGGCCAGGAGTCGTTAAGTAACCTGCCCAGAGTTACACAGCTGGAAAGCATCAATGCAGTAGTGCCAACCCAAGCAGTAGGAATCCAAGGAGGGCCCTCTCTCATTTCCCCAAGCCTTTAACAGTTGTGACATAAAGCCATGAACAGAAATGTGCACAAAACATGAGTGGATAGCTCAAGGAGTTACCATAAATACCCTTCACCCAGATGTCCTCCTGCTAATCCCATTCTACTCCTTCTACCTAAGATACCTAATATCCCAACTTACACATGGTAGTTTGTTCTTTTGCCTGTGTTTAAAATTTATATAGATGGAATATACATTTATTTTGGTCAGGCTTCTATCATCAACACCATGTTTGTAAAACTCACCCATGTTGTGTATGTCACTCACATATGTAGGCATTTGTTTATATACTTTTGTTATCTAGTATTTCATGGCATGAATATATAACAATTTACTTAACTACTGCCTGTTGGTAGACATTTGTATTACCTCTAGGGTTTAGCTATTAAACAGAAAAACAAAACCAAAAAATCTGACAAAACTGCAATTAATAACATTAGAGTTTATTTCTGCTTATTAAAAGACATCATATGAAATGCTATTGTGATATATATTTTGTGTCTGTGTCTGACTACTTTCAATGATTCTGATGTTTGTGGGAGTCATTTAGGGCTGTTCTATGTAGCTGTAAATACATTTATATTGCCACTTAGTACTTCATTGTGTGAATATAATAAATAGTGAAGGACTTTTTGCCTCCCCCAATCCCTGCCTCACTTTGCATCCCTTACAAAATGACACTGCTGTCATCCCATACAAAATGACACATACTGTCCGGATGCACAAGTGCACATATTTTCTAAATATACCTAAGTATGGATACAATGCCTCCAAGGATGCACATGTGTTTGTGTTCAACTTTACCAGAAGTTGCAAACTGATTTCAGAAGTGGCTTTATTATCCTCCTACCTGCAGTGTATCAGTCCAGTTTCTCATCTTCAACAACACTTAGTGTTGTTAGTCTTTTACATTTTAACCACTCTTACATTGCTTTGTTTTCCAGTTATCTGATGACTAATGAAGCTGAGTATGTCTCCAAGTTATTTATAGCATTATATGTGAGAAGTACTTGTTCAAGTATCTTGAATATTTCTCTAGTGGAATATTTGTCTTTTTCCTACTGATTCTTGACAAATTCTTATTATTTTCTGTATAGAACAGTTCTGTTATAAATATATTGGAAATATTCCCATCTACTTGGACTTTCCTTTTCTCTTCACGACTTCTGATCAACAGATATTCCTGCTTTTAGTATATTCCACTTTTCTTTCTTCTCTTTCATGATTATGGCTTCCTGTGTCATTTTAAAGAACCTATCCATATATCAGAAGTACAAAGATAATCCCTTATCTGGCTTCTTTCCAGGAGCTTTATAATTTTTTTGTCTTTTACAAGTATGCTTAACATCCAACAAAGCTGACTTCTGTGTGTGGTACTAAGGGGTCAAGTGTATCTTCCATAGGGATATTCAATTGTAATAAGTATAATAAAATTAGTGTTTATGCATGTGAGAGTCTACTTTTTCCTCCATGCTGTTTCAATAATCTAATTCTTTATGCTTGTCCCAGTATTACACTGTTTTAAAAACCTTTGCTTTATAATAAGGTGTGATATCCAACAGAGCTAGCGATTCTCAACTAGGTGCAATTTTGCACCATAGGGGACATATCTTAAGAAATTTTTTTTGGTTTTCACAAGTAGAGACTGCTATTGACATCTAGTGGGTGGGCCAAGACCACTGACCAACATCCCACAATGCACAGTCCTCCCCTCCTTTCCCTACAAAGAATTATCTGGCCCAAGAGGTCAATGGTGCCAAAGTTGAGAAATCCTATATTAGAGAAAATCCTATTATCCTTCTTCAAGACATTTTTGGCTATTCTTGGTCCTTTGCATATCCATAACCATTTTATAATCGGCTCACTAACTTCCACAATTATACACAATCCTTTGTGATTTTGTCTAAAGTGGGACTGAATCTATAATCTGGTGTTGTCCCACAGACATATAATGTGAGTCATAAACACGAGCCACACAGGTAATTTAAAAATTTTCTTGTGGTCAGACTGAAAAAGTAAAAAGTTAGGGGCTGGTGCTGTGCCATAGTAGGTCAGGCCTCTGCCTACAGTGGCGGCATCCCATGTGGGCACTGGTTTGTGTCCCGGCTGCTCCTCTTTTGATTCAACTCCCTGCTTATGGCATGAGAAAGCAGTGGAAGATGGTCCAAGTGCTTGGGCCCCTGCACCCACGTGGGAGACCTGGAAGAAGCACCTGGCCATTGTGGCTATCTGGGGAACGAGCCAGAGGATGAAAGACCTTTCTCTCAGTCTCTCACTATCTGTAACTCTGCCTCTCAAACAAATAAATAAAATCCTTAAAAAAGGAAAACTTTTTGGCCTTCTGGTAAAGAACAAGTGAAAAAGTAACAAATTAACAGGTGAACTTAATTTATAAAATACCTTTTAGGGGTGAGCATTTTAAGCAGTTAAGACAGCACTTAGGATGCTTGTGTCCCAAATCAGATGTTTGACTTCCATATCTGGCTTCTGACTCCAGCTTCCTGGCAACACAGAGCCTAGGAGAAAATGACGATTGCTCAAGTAACTGGGTTTCTTCTACCCAGGTGGGAGACCAATTATGTTCCAGGCTCCTGGCTTTGGCCCAGCCCAGCCCTGGCTGTTAAAGGAATTTGGGGAGCAAATAGCACATGGGATTCTGCTCTCTCTCTCTCTCTCTCTCTGAAATTTCCTGTATGTAACAACATATCCAAAATGCAAGTACTGCCATCTCAAGAAGCAATCAATATATAAAAACTACCAGGATATTTAATATTCTTTTCTCTGATACTCAATCTTTGAATTCCAGCATATAACTCATATTTACAACACGGCTCAATTTGGAGCTACATTTCAAGTACTGAATACAATAGTCACATGTATCCAGCGGCTACTATAATTGAAACCATCAGTTTATGGAGAAATGGTACATTTATAATTCCGGATTTGCCAAAATCGTGTCCTTTATTTGGATCCTTTAAAATTTCTTTTATTTTTTTTTATTTCTTTAAAGATTTATTTACTTATTTGAAATTCAGAATTACACACAGAGAGAGGAGAAGCAGAGAGAGAGAGAGGTCTTCCATTTACTGGTTCACTCTCCAATTGGCTACAACTGCTGGAGCTGTGCCGATCCAAAGCCAGGAGCCAGGAGTCAGAAACTTCCTCTGTGTCTCCCACGTGGGTGCAAGGTCCAAGGACTTGGGTCATCTTCTACTGCTTTCTCAGGCCATTGCAGAGAGCTGGATCAGAAGAGGAGCAGCCGGGACTAGAACTGGCACCCATATGAGATGCCGGCACTTCAGGCCAGGGCGTTAACCCACTGTGCCACAGTGCCGGCCCCCCCTTTAAAATTTCTTAATAGGTTCCAGCATTGTGGCACAGTGGCTCAAGCTCCTGCCTAGTACCCCATATGAGTGTAGGTTCAAGTCCCGGCTGTTCCAGTAGGACCAGATGGAGTTTTAGTTTAGACCAGCACTGGCTATTGTGGGCATTTGGAGAGTATCTCTGTTTCTCTGCCTTTCAACCACAATAAAAATAAATTTAA